TTCAGTAAACTTCATTCCCCCTAAACAGCCCTTCACGTCTTTTCGAACGCGTTAAACGGCCGCGCTGGTTGTGAGGACTACTTTCATAGGTGTGCGATGCGTTGTCAGGCATACTGAAAGTTACATCTGCTTGTGTAGTACTGTTCTGGTCTCAAAGTCCTAAATAGTGTTCCTTTTATTGTCATCACTGATTGCAGGAAGTTGTAGAGACTGAAAACTTCATTCCCCCTAAACAGCCCTTCACGTCTTTTCGAACGCGTTAAACGGCCGCGCTGGTTGTGAGGACTACTTTCACTGAATAACCCCTTATTGCACGAAAACTCACGTTTTCAAAATCGAGTATCAGTTTCCGTGAAACGGAAATTGAGCACAGTTGATCAAGATGTCATCCACCAGAACTATCACTTCGGTGTTCCCACTCGAACTGTTCACAAGTTATAATGAAAAAAAATTCTGCCAATAGAAAGATGGTGTGTGTTGGCCTTATACCTTTGCTGCGGGCTCTTTCCACTTGTCTATTTTCTCCGTTTCTTTCAGTATATTCCAGAAAAATTCCCGGTTTCCATTTTTATCGGCGCTCTCCACTTGCTGCGGTTGTCAGCAGCAACACAATGACTACATACTCTACATTATTTTCTTGTCGATACTCTGAACTGCTGTCGCTTTTTCATTGTTTGCACAATAGCTTTGTTTGTCACCACCAGATTTTTCTGGTATTATTCTGCTCCTGTAGTTGACAGCTTTTGAATAGCTCTTTTGGATGAGATCGGATCACTGGTTGGCCTGACACGAGCTGTGTGGACGGCACAGACAGTTTATGTCGCACCCGTCATTAATCCTTGTCGAAATGCGTTCCCCCCAAAGGGTTTCCTTCACGGCGTTTTTTCATTACAGTGTTCTTTTAACTCGACAAATTCACCATCCTTCCGCTCCTTTTATTATTATTTTTTGAGCGTGGAGTAGTAAACTGGTTACTGTTTTCACCTATGTTCGAGCGACCCAGCAGGATATTAGCTCAGTGGTTAAGGTGCGAAGATTGGAAGGTCGGTGGTTCGAACTCGGCATCTGCATTTCGACTCCTGTCTACGCTTGGACAACCTGGCGGTATCTCAGCCTTCGGTTGACATGGCAGCTAGGCTCCGAAAAGGTGTTATATTACTATTAGTACTATTATTTTTGTTTTTTGTTCCTCTTTACGCGTCTCCTGACAGGAATGTGCCGAAAAGTTGACGCAATGGCGCGATTTTTCTTCATTTATCGGGATTCCTTTGTCCACAATCTCTCTGAGGGTTGGTGATTTTATTTTGAGTCGATTGTTGCCAAACTAACTGGTGCTACTTTATTTGCTTTAATGCCGAATTCCAAACGTACTTTTGTTGAAACTGTTTGTTTACTGCATCCTTCTCTTCTCTTCTAGGTGCCCATCCTAGCACAGACACTTCACTGCCTCCAATGTTTGCTGCACGTGAGGAAATCGTTCGACTGTTTGAGCAGCTATGCGTCAGGCGTCCTGCTGACGTTGTCTCTGTTCTGCCGGAGCTTGTCGAGGTTGTCCTGGCATGTCTGGATCGCACGCGGCTAAAAGAACGTGGACTGGAGTTTGTCTTTCCAGCTTTGCGACAGTGAGTCACTTCGAGTTTCACTGCGTTTCATCCAAATGCCTCTTTATTCCCCGAGATTAACATAATAGGTAACCGGTGTGTTATCCCACATTTCGCTTCCATGCCCATCGCATATTCTACCGGCGTATTTTGCCCTCAGCGTCAGCCAATTATACGCTAAGGTGCCCCCGTTGGTCCTTAAAGCAACCAGGAGTGTGATTGGGCCGTAGAAATGGAAGTTCCTCGGTAGATGAGCCACGCCTACACATCTCAGACACAGTCCGACTCGTCCCAATTTGGGAGCAACTGTTGCGAACAGCGCTACTCGCGATTCCTTGTTCTCAGTGGTTCAGAGCTTCCCAAGTAGCTTACCCAGTTTGACTGTACGGTTTGACAGTTGCCCCGAAAATTGAGAATCACCACTACAACATTGAGCGGGATTGGACAGAAGGATGATTTTCGCATGTGGGCCACTGCAAATAAGAGATGAATTCATACCCATAGAACTGCATAAGTTCCAAGTTTGACAAAATTGTAACCTCTCACATTTCGTTTTTCACCTAGGTTCAGTGCCTTTTCTTCACACACGCGCACGCAGAAGGTTTGCGTGGGAGGTGTCAACGGATCGATAACGTTCTTCGACTTCAAAATTGGACGATACTTTGTAAGTTGCAACACCCCCTGCACAATTGATTTTACTTCTCTTTGCAGTGAGGTCACCTGGTTGGTGTATGGTTGACCTTGAATGCGGACCGTCCGTAGGGCCCAGTATGGTGTTCCGACCAATCCCGTAGCCTTGTCCAACAGCTGAACGCCTGTTGAGTCAAACAGATCACTTTCCTGATCCATCTCTATTATGTTACGCCTGTTTATTCGACCTCTTTTGTAACAAGCTTCTCTCACAATGCACTCGAAGTATGGGATCGTAATAGGGCCTACAGTTTTCTTCGAAACTCGTTAGCGATGCTGTGTACAGCTTTACGTTTTGTTGTATTCATTGTGCGCTCCTTGTCATTCGCTCTCCTGGTGTAACGATGGATACTACTGATGGGTGGAATGCGAGTAGCACGTTTTCCCGTGAATCCGCTTCGCGTCCCTTGAAAAGTGAGATGTATTATGGGATCGCGTCTCTTGAAAAGTGAGATGTATTATGGAATTTATGGAGTCGCATTTGCTTGCACTTGAGCAACAGTCAATGAATATCCAGAAAAGATCAGGAAGACGCGTTTACGGAGGAAATGGATATTCAGTTTCTGTAAACCATATGCATATGAGAGTTTTGCTTTCCTGTCCAACAGTCTGTAACGATTCACTTGGCGTTTCCTAATACATAACCCCACAGCGAAGTCCTTCTTTTCACTGGTAGTCGTCCTGACATGTCTCCACCAGGTAAAGAATATCGGTCATTTGTTTCAGCTCCTTATATTTCGGTATGATGCATGAAAGCCCTGGAACAATTCCCTTATACGATCAGTTGGGTAGCTATTGTAAGTTCAAAGTAAATCAGACAACACGTACGTAGGGACACGGCCAAACAGGTCCGCCTTGGAACAGGTAGGTAGACAACTGCGTCACATGTCCACTCATCACAGCTCCCTGATGATCGCGGATAGACACGCACGCGTACAGACCACCGGCACTCACCCAATTAGCCGCTAGAGTCACACGCCGAACGGAGAAGCACACGCGCACTCTCTGGCACATCGAGGCGGCTACCCCAGTAGCTCATTGGTCAGCACCAGGACTACACATCGGGGCTCACTCATCACCTGAAACATGGCGTTCAAACATCCTGACATGGTCAGACAGAGGTTGCTAATCCTATTGGTGATCCCTTTGAAGGAGCAGTAGAGCTCCGAATATTTTCTGGTCTTATTTGCAGATATTCGGTATTTTATCCGTTAATCTAGTTAGAAAAAGTTTGTAAAATTATCCCTGTGACGTGAACTTTTTATCGGTAGTGAAAAACTACAACGCTGTGTAGCGCAGGCAAAGATTAGACGTTATCCTGCGAACGTCGTGGTGATCTTCCGATGCAACACAAGCTATACCTTACTCCAACCTTCATCTTTCCATTACCGGAAATNCTTACTCCAGCCTTCATCTTTCCATTACCGGAAATGGAGTTCTATCGTGCAAACCCCCTCGTCTGGGCCTTGATCTGAATCCTGGGATTGACATGCATAGGTAGCCATTGGGTAGATCACTCGGCAAGAGCCGTATCGCTTGACAATGTATTGTTTGCGAATCGTTCCTGCTTCCATTTGTTGTCTTTGTTTGTCTAAATGCTGTCATATGTGTGGCAGAGAAACCGAGAAACTAGAAGTTACGCATTCAAGAACCTGGTCTCTGTTGTGCAGCATCCCTGCTGTTATCTCTTGCATCAGAAAGCTACTCTGGTTTTCATGAGCACCATACCGCATTCTAGAAGGTGCCACAGTTGTTCATCGAGTTTAATGGCAGCTAACATTGAGTCATATTCGGCATTATTTTATAAGTCTACTCTCGGTGAATCCCACCTGCGGATAAAACATTAAAAGGGCGTCGTGAGGGAGTTTAGAGTTTCCATCTATTCCTTGTCCAAATAGATCTTCGCGATGACACGATGATGCGCTTCACTCCCTCGTCCAGTTATACTGTTCTGATGAGGCTTATTTCGTCTCTTCGTGTTGAATCAAACGTTCGATTCTAGCGTACACTGAGCAGACAACAGCCGCAACGTGACTGCCGTTGAGTCGCAATCGATATGCAAGATTGATGTGACTCTTATCTGATATTAGGAGAAAATGGAATACCCTGGAACCACGGTCATTTTTTTCACGTCGTAGCTGCTCTATCTTCACTCTAGTCTGGAGGTGAGATGGCCCAAGTTGTTAGAGCCTGAATTTACTACCGGAACGTCCGTGGTCCGAACCCGACCCCTGCCTCTCGACTTCCGTTGTCTAGGCTTGGGCAACCTGACAGTATCTCAGCCCTCGTGCTTCGTTCTGGTGGCTTGGCAGTTAAGCACCGAAGGGGTGCTTCAGCTGAACGTTTTTTTCTAGTCCGCAAGTTAGGCTATGTTCTGGAACCAAGTATTTACAGCGACAAATCTGTTTGCTCTCTATGGTCACATTAAATAGAGTCTACCTTGATTTGTCATCTTTTTACCCCATCTAGATCACGACCGGTCACAAGGGTCCAGTCACTGCTGTTCGCTTTCAATCTGACGGACGCTTAGTTGCCACCTATTCGTTGACTGAGAGTGTGCTACGTATATGGCAGGCAAGTTATCGTTTTTGGATAATTATTTGTACCTGTACAGACACACACAGAGAGAGAGAGAGTTCGCGCTGTGTTTGTATACATCCGTCTCCTTTTTTCTGCCACTTATAGCTTCAAACCGCCGGTTTCTTCGGAATGGGTGGTCAGCAAGTCAAATCCGTTTCGATCCATCCCGTGCCACCACTACTCCCCCCACCTTCGAAACAAGTTGCCAAATCTGAGATGGGAAGCAAAAGCAACCCCGCCGATGAGGTCTGCTCCGATTCCATATCCGTGTGGCTTGACTGGCCCGAAAGCCGTGTGGTGCAGTTGATCACCGACGGTGGGGTTAAGCGGCGTGTTAACCTTTGATATCCTTCAGTTTGCCTGAAATTGGGCTTTCATGGAGCTTGGACTATTTCGTAGGCCAATATCTCCTCAGGATCTATGTTGTGATCATCTGTTTACTGTTGTGCAACGATGCGTTGCGTATATATCTATTGCATCAACCAATGCATAATCGTGACTGCGAACAGTTGTTTTCCGGTTCGTCTGTCCAGAGACCATTTGCTGTCCCCGAGTCTTTGACGCCCTCACTGCAGCTTTTTGTTGTATCCATACATACCTACCCTTCTCCAATTTCCTACCTCCTTTGACTTTCCGATGTAACTCTTTTTATCATCATTATCTCTCGGTCGTTCTCGGCCCTATTCACGCATTTTCGTTCTCATAATCTTCTATCCATTCTCCGTACCAATAGTCTCCTAAATCCCCCCTCTCCCGTGTATCGATACTTTGTTATCTGTTCGCCGCTTACTTCACCTCTGTTTGTCGAACGAATAATTTGGTCGTGACCGAGAGACCTTATCGATTCTTCCTCTGTACGAATTATCTTCGTATTCATTCCAGTGAACTTAGTTACACAAATTACGAGTTATTCCTAGTCCGGTTTTACCGCGCAGCCACATGACTGTATTATCGATATGTTTGGTTTTTGTCAGTCTTTGGGTTACTGAGTTGAACTACAGTTCTTTCAAATTGGATTTAAGTAAACGTGCGAATGGACAGTTTGGTCCTCCAACTGAACTTTTCGTTCCAGTGGACCAAAATTCTGAGCTCGGCAATCGCTGTTTGTAAATTGTGTTACGATTTTCTCCAAAACGAACTTTTTCATTGCCTCACGAATATACAAGGACCCGTGGAACAGAGACGAAAATTCGATCTTCTTTGCTTCGTAGTGCTACCGAGTGGCCAAGTACACTGCCGACACCGTTAGCATAGAATGCGCCGTGTAGTCGCCAGCCATCCGGGAACCGTAGTAATGGTGTGCGTGCTGAGGAAGTAGGAACCATTGTGACGAGAAGTCTCATAAGTCCTACAGCGGTTGCAAGTCTTCATGAATCACGGAACCGCACCAAATTGCTATTTCATGCGGGTAATTTGACCAAATGGAATCTCAGCTCCCTGACCTGAGGGAACTCAGAGTTGTTTTCTTCACTGTTTCGTTATCTTGTGCCCTTCACGACTTGATGTGATACACCAAAAGGGATTAAGCATAAACACCCGTTCCCCAGTTGCTCAGTTTTGTAATTCCAGCCAGACGGTTTGTTCACATATTTGCTGATCTCATCTTCCCAGTATTCGTTGTTGCTTCTGGTCAACTCGATTAACCTAGAAGAGTTACCGGTGTACTGGTGGATACTACTGATGAGGTATGCGAGTAGTGTGTTTTCTCGTAAATCAGCTTCGCGTCTCTTGAAAAGTAAGATCTGTTACGGAGTTTCTGAAGTCGCTTTGTAGAATTCGCTTGTATTTGAGTAATAGTCATTGAATATCCAGGAAAGTTCAGGAAGACACGTTCAAGGAGGAGATGGATATTCAGTTTTGTAAACAAGATGCGTATGAGAGTTTAGCTTCCCTGTCCAATAGTCTGTAACTGTTCAGTTAGCGTTTTCTAATAAATAACTCCGCAGGTAAGGCCTTCTTCCTTTCACCGGTAGTCCTACGTTCAACGGGCGTTCCTGGGGAAAGCTGTCACGACCTATAAGTTGTGCATATCTTTTCAGTTGTTCTAGCCCTCTTAGGCATTATGCGCAATCTCGTTACATCGGACATGGGCAATGCGTCTGCATGTTGACATGAGAAGGACAACGAAGACGCGCCCACGAATTGAATTTCCCCACTTGGATGCTCCAAGAATGCTGCTGCAGTCATGCTAGAACAGTCGAACTTCACGTGTGATTCGCCAGATGTCTGCCTGATAGACAATTGGTCGGGGACCACCGACGTGACTTTCACAATAGGTTATAGAGTACTGTCGTCTAGCTACAGGAAGGGCTTTCGTACTTCCCATTTTGCTTCTCACGTACAAACTTATGATCTTTTGTTAGAATATATCGACTAACGGACATCCATTCTTATGTGTTCCCTGATCGATATCAAGGGACTGTGTGGTCCGCTGCACCAGTTTTCGTGCAAAATGGGAGTGGGAATGCAAAGCCCCACTTGTCACGAAGTGTGGGGTTCGTGATGAGTACCGTGAGCTGCGTTTAACTGGCCTGAAGCAGGTTACACTTTGGGATGCGTTTAGCGTCGCGTTCTTCAAGACTTCGCATCAGAAGTGCCTAACAAGTTGCAGTAGGATTTGTAGTATACATGCGATGCAGATGTGCCCGTCAGTTCACACTCGTGCGAAACAAGTCTTATTTTCAGTTTCAGACGTGGCTGGGCTGGATCGATGGTGCGTTCTGATGTCGGTGTGAGTTTTCGTCTCATCTCGTACTGACTTGACTTGCATTTGAATGGATTTGAAATCGTCATGTGACCTGCGGTAGCCAGCCAATAAATGTGCGTTTAAAATCAGCTAATGCTCTGTCCAGATATAAACTGTACGTCGACTAAAGAGGCATTACATGTTTCCCAACAGTTCTGATAGGCACTTTCTTCAGGTTGGTACTGTTCATTCCTTGGCTGTTGTCATCACAACGAAAGCCATCGCGCTTATGCAAGCTAGTTTTTGGTGAACGTCATCTCGTGGGTGGTTTTCTGTCTGAAAATGCAAAAATAACGGGGAGCGGTATTCCTATGTAGGGACTGTCTTCTGAGACCAGATCCCCGAGCCCGAATGTCTGAAGGATGTTGGGAGTGCTTAAAGATCACTGTGGGCTTTACTCTGCTACCGCTCCTCATCCCTTGCGAAATGCATGCTTGGATTTCGCACTACTTGAGTTTGAAAGTAGTAAACTTGGTAACTATTTGTCGGTGCCCTTGCCATCTTACATCTGTCAGTGGCATTTGTAATGCACCTTTCATTCTTACCCGGTCATGGTTCGCGAATGAATTTCTTTAACGCTCATTGAACCTCAGTTTCAGTCGTTTTGAAAGTTGTTATCCATACATCGCTCAATACAGAAGCCATTCGTCATCCGAACTTAACCAAATTCGCCCACTCTTCCGTACCAAAACGAGTAAACGAGTCCTAGCCTCATATCCGTGGTCTTGAACTATATTAGAAAGAGTACATCCCAAAGTTAAGAAAGAACGGACAAATAGTTGTGTGTGTGAGTTTCGTTACATGAGCTTTTGTAGATGGTAAACAGCAGAATCGGAATCAAACTTACGATAAATCAATGACATTCTATCACAAATTTGTTAGAAAGTAGGCTGTGAGTAAACATGCCGTGTGGACATGTGCCTGCTATCGCTGTTGGCTTATGTACTCAGCTCTACTTGTGTGATTTTTCTCGCTAGCTGTTTGCTGCGAGTAACCAAGTGGTTTGTTTGAATATGGACAGAGCTGCCACCTGGAAATTAATTAATGTTGACGCCGTTCCTTTTCTTTGTGTTATGCTGCTTGCTAGGACGCTGGATTACGGTCTATGCGTATTCGTTCGACTGAATCTTACATTCCCTCTCGGCGACCATGTCACCATACACGTCTACATCGGAACTCCCAAACTGCTATTCGCTCGACTTCGGCGTTTCTCGTCGTCAATCTCGCTCACGTTGTCTCCTTAGCGGTAGTCCAATTTGGTTGTTGGTCTTTTCACCAAAAGAGGCCACAAGTGAATTATGTGCCGATAGACGCCACGCCGTCAGTTTGCTGCCAAAGTATATTGCGATCAGAATTAACCGAAGTTAGTCGTAGAAAGTGACACATTTCGTGACACGATTCGAGGAAGTAAAGAACACCGCATTTTCCATGGCTGGCCAATTTGGATGCCCGAAATCACATCGGCAATGGGAAATATCACAAAACAAAGGGATTTCACACCAGTGTTGAGTAGATATTTTGGAATCTGTGAAATGTATCCTAAGTGGAAGAACACTGAAATGGGTACTTTCAAAGACTTTGAAGCTGCGTCGTTTAGTTCGTTATCTCTTTCCTAGTATCATGCTTACTGCTCTCTCCATCCATTCATACACGATGCCCTTCCCTTATCTTCTCCACCACAATTGAACGTAGAATACAAAAATTCGCAGCACGCGTAACCAAGGTGGCCTTCTACTTGATTTTTTGTGGGGAGGGCGCTGAAGGGACGCAAAAATGTCCTAAAAAGCTGGCATAGGTGAGCTGACCGAGTATGTGACAATAGGATAAGCACTTCACTGATTCGGTCAACAGCTAAACCTTAGGGTCGGTGTGCATGGTACTCATAGATCCAGTGATTCTTGGGGGACCTTGAGCTAAACCTTAGTTAAGGGTCGACGTGCATGGTATTCATAGATCCAGTGATTCTTGGGGGACCTTGTAGTGTCCTTAGGATCATCTCATCCATTGATGAGCTGTCTTGTAATTTTGATCGATCTGGCATACACGGATTCTCGTTATCCGTCGTAGGGACATGGAAATCCTGAACAAACGCGCTGCGATAACACCTTATTGTTCCTTAATCTTGGGGGATCAGTTCCTGGCTATTCTGTCTAGAAGGAATACTTGAAAAGCCAGGGGTGACAGCAAACGTTGGACAGTAGGACGAACTGAAATTCGGTGTGGGTCGCGGAAAACACCAACCTGTCCTATAGAACAGACCCCTCGATCTATATTTGGGCCCCAGGTTTGTCTTGGAAGTTCATCGAGATCCTCGGCATTAGAAACATTGAAACATATGGCTCTTGGATTACAAATCCATGACAATGTGAGGACACATCTCACAAAAATCACAAGTGACTGTCCAATGGCGGTGACCCGGCTGTTCCTTGATTAATTAGTGGCACGATGTGGAAAAAAGCACAAATTCGCAGTATCCGGAATCATAGTTGGTGTTCTTTGATGCCATACAAGTATCTTCCCATGGTAAACATCATCACAATATATAGCTTGACCGAAATGGATTTTCATATTCAAGATTAATCTTTCTGCGATCCGTACT